CGGAATTGCCCCGAGGCATGCAGCCACCAGACCTCACTGCTTCCCATCACTAACTGATTAGGACAAGATTACACCATGGAGAAATAACCAGCCAAATATAATCACCCCCCCCCTCAAAAAAAATTGCACACAGTTCCACAAAAATTTATTCATAATTGCTCTCCAACAGAAATTTCATCCTTAGCTCATTGGTCTTAAGGTTTATGCATGTAGCACACTCTGAATCTATTCAGAAGAACTTCCATATTAATTCTGGTCCTTTGAAGTCCTACACATTCTGCCACCTTCCTGCTTCTACTATTAAACTCATCATTTTCCTGGACTACGCAATCAAACATCTTCAATCTGGGACTCTGCAGTGCTTAACTCATGAAACTCTTTGTTAGGCAGTCTCAAGACTCACTTCCACAGACATTACTCATTGTAGTGCTTTTAGTTCATTTTAAATTCACATTTAAATTTTAGGCTTCCCTTTTCATTTTTCTCCCTGGTTATTTGCAGTGTTTTGTCCTTGCTCATTTGTTAACATTTGGAATTATCATTGGAATGAGGTAATCTAAAATGTTAAGTTGTAACTTGGACATGTTATGCCCTGCCAACAAGGTTGAAGGGGTGTACCCCTTAAAAAAATCCTTCTTAAGGCTTTTTGAGAACCTTCATCTCGATATGGTCCTTGAGCGGGACCAAGAGAGGGCATTAAGGCTGCTTTCAAGGTCGGAAGTGAACTTTGCCTGTTCACGAACGACTATCACACATCCCAGTTGCATTGTTACTAACAAAATGAACACTCCCAACCAATATGGCTCTTTTCAGGGTGATGGGATGCTTCAGCTCGAGGTAGATAGAGCCCTCAATAATGTCCTCAGACATGTAGCTCATCAACAGAGCTGGCAGTTGTGTAGTCATGTTAACCACTTGTTACCGGGGAACCCCGTTTTGAGCACCATGGGTTTATACGCAGAGCTGGGGTGCCCAAAATGGGACAAAAGAGCTGGACCATGTAACAAAAGACAGTACTCGGGAAAAAAGACCTGCTGCTGGGAACTGCCATCATTTTTTGCCTTGCATGTTTCGAAGGTAATTCGTCTACTGTTTTTAAGCAGTATACCACTGTTTTGGGCATAGCACGCCTGCAGATTAGCACTGCTGACAAAAGTGCTCCAGGGCCCCATTGATGAGCGACACAGCACCGCTGCATGTTAAGCCAGCCCCGTTTGAAAACTTGCCACTCGCATTCACTGAGGACAAAGGAAATTACGCAACACCTCACAATTCTGGGCTCTCTTTACAGGGCGGTAGGCCTTGCTGAAATACTTAGGAGTCAATGAAGGTTGCCTGTCGGCTTAGAGTAGCCACCAAACAGTCATTCGTGTGGGTGTAAACATCCATTAAAAGAAATGATGAATTTCTGAAAAATTTTGAAAACTTAAAATCTTGAAAATCTCCCGTATGTGTGCACTGCATTTTTAAAAGCACCCAGCAGCAAGTGGTTAACAATGACAAGCATTTGGTATGATCACTGTGCCAGTTTATACATGTATTTATGCATGCATGTTGTATTAGTACTACCCATGGAAATTATTGCACAAGAAAGTGGAAGAACATATTTGTACATGTAACTAATCAAGCAAGTTAAGATCATTTGTCTTAAACTTGTAAGTCTTAATATTCAGGTGCCGTTACATAACCTCCCCCCTCCAAAAAACCCTTTGGTCAAGCCTCCCCCCACCGCAAAAAATGCCATAATGAAACAGCAGTAGCGGAAGTTAAAAGGTGACGTTGTGTGAGAAGGCTGAAGTACAGCTCCCCCCCCCCAAAAAAAATATTTGCTCTAGAACCTTGCCTGTTAAGTCGATGCCCGGCCCTGTTTATTCATTACAGCTCGATAGGTCAGTTAACGCACAACTTGAGTTGTACTAGACAAAAACCCTTAGGACTTGCTTGTGTTTTGACTTGTGATCAAATAACATGTGACTTGACTTGTAACTGGACCAAATGACTTGTGACTTGACGTGGAGTTTCAGAAATTGACTCGGTACCACCTCTGATGACTCGAGTGGGCACCGTTGTTTTTTCCCATTTTGATAGCGTAATATTGTGACTGATTGTAATGAATGTTAGTTCAAACACTCAGCTGGTGGCACACAATGCAAACATATTTCTATGTGGATTGCAATTTTAAAGACAGTCATGCATGCCTTGTGCAAAGTTAGACAGCATCCAAATTACTTGGCTATCACTAGAAATAACACATAAATCAATTGGAAATGAATGAAGCCTTCTATAGGTGAGTGTGTTGTTTCGACCGATATCTTGTTAGGGTATACTCTAAGTTGACTGTATTGGATACAATATTCTTACAGGCAAATGACAAAGTCACAGTGGACTGTTCATGAATATGCCTCTGCTGTTTCTGATCTCTACGGCATTTTCAGATCCGTGGATTCTACCTACGCTCCTAATCTTGATATTTGTAGTCCTTGCGGTGGTGGTGTGCTGCATCATAACAGTAAAGGTTAATGCAAAATGTTGCCAAGGGGATGATGCTGGGAACCATGCAAACAGCCACGATCCTTATCAGTTGGTTTCTGATGGCACCACTCAACAAACAGGTGAATCAGGTGGAGCAGCAGAGGTTGAAATGTCTGCCACGGCACCCCCCGTCAGCCAGGATGAAGGAGCCAACAACACTGAACAGGTTCAAGAAACCCAAGTAGTGTAAATATTCAAGAATGAATGGGCAGGCCTCCACCACATTCAGGGGACAGTTTCTTTGGTTAACCACTCCTGCTGGNTGATTCCGGATCCGGACACGTATGCTTTATATGCGTGGCTGGGGTCTCTGAACTTGGACAAAGGGAACAGGGCCTTGTAACAAAAGACCGTACTTGGAACAAAAAACCAGGCTGCTGGGAATTACCCACATTTTTTCACTCTCAAAAGTGGAGATAATCCAGCCTTGTTTTGAAACAGTATACCACGGTTTGGGGCGAGCGGATTATCACCAGGGACAAAAGCGCTCCACCACCGCAGCAATGAGCCACACAGCACAGCTGCATGCTAATCTGGCCCCTATTGAAAAGAGGTCAGCAGCGCACTGAGCCAGGTTCATGAGCAAAAGAAAGTTATATAACACTGCACAATCTGGGCTCTTTTTACAATGCTGCAGGCCTGGCTGAAATACTCAGGCGTCAATAGATTTTGTCTGTCAGGCTAGAGTGGACACCAGACAGTCCTTCATGTGTTTGTAAGTGTCCAGTAAATGAAGATCAGAATTTTTAAAGAATTTTGAAAACAGAAAAAAATGATAAATATCCCACCCCAGCATCATCAACATTGATACCTGCCCCGGCAGGAAGTAGTTAAGAAAGTTGTGACCAACTTGAGGGGACAACTTTGGTCCCTATAAAAATTGGTGTAGTGGTGAGTGTTTGGTGCAGGTCCTATAACGGAATAGGGCTTGCTGGATTGGCCTGTTAATGGATAATGCCTACTAGTCTCACAACTGCCCCCCATTGTGAAAATTGTTCCACTGCCGTTGCATGTAAGGAATAAGTCTGTGATTGCCAGTGTCAATGAACTCTGGATGACGGAACATTCACAGTGTCTGCAACAAAGGAGTGGAGTAGTCTGCCCTCCGACAATCAGTGTGCCACATCATTGGAGCAATTTAAGAAAAGGCTTAAACCTACCTGTTCCACCAGTAATGATAACGATAATAAATTAAAAAAGGTAAAGTTAACTTTATTAGAGCATCAATTAAGTCTTTGTAATGAGTGGACTGTTTATCATATGTAAGCGCTGTGATTTAATTACTTGGTTAACCACTTCGGACCGGGGCATTTTTCAACGTTGAGGATGCTGGGCCGGCAAGACTATCATTTTTTCCGTTTTCAACAATTCATCATNATTCTGGATCCGGACACGTATGCTTTATATGCGTGGCTGGGGTCTCCGAACTTGGACAAGGGGAACACGGCCTTGTAACAAAAGACTGCACTCGTAACAAAAGACCAGGTTGCTGGGAATTACCCACATTTTTTCACTCTCAAAAAGTGGAGATAATCCAGCCTTGTTTTGAAACAGTATACCACAGTTTGGGGCGAGCGGATTATCACCGGGGACAAAAGCGCTCCACCACCGCAGCAATGAGCCACACATCACTGCTGCATGATAATCTGGCCCCTATTGAAAAGAGGTCAGCAGCACACTAAGCCAGGTTCGTGAGCCAAAGAAAGTTATATAAAACTGCGCAATCTGGGCTCTTTTTACAAGGCTGCAGGCCTGGCTGAAATACTCAGGCGTCGATAGATTTTGTCTGTCAGGCTAGAGTGGACACCAGACAATCCTTCATGTGTTTGTAAGTGTCCAGTAAATGAAGATCGGAATTTTTAAAGAATTTTGAAAACAGAAAAAATGATAAATATCCCGGCCCAGCATCATCAATATTGATACCTGCCCCGGCAGGAAGTAGTTAAGAAAGTTGTGACCAACTTGAGGGGACAACTTCGGTCCCTATAAAAATTGGTGTAGTGGTGAGTGTTTGGTGCAGGTCCTATAACGGAATAGGGCTTGCTGGATTGGCCTATTAATGGATGATGCCTACTAGTCTCACAACTGCCCCCCATTGTGAAAATTGTTCCACTGCTGTTGCATGTAAGGAATAAGTCTGTGATTGCCAGTGTCAATGAACTCTGGATGACGGAACATTCACAGTCTCTGCAACAAAGGAGTGGAGCAGTCTGCCCTCTGACAATCAGTGTGCCACATCATTTGAGCAATTTAAGAAAAGGCTTAAACCTACCTGTTCCACCAGTAATGATAACGATAATAAATTAAAAGGTAAAGTTAATGTTATCAGAGCATCAATTAAGTCTTTGTAATGAGGGGACTGTTTATCATATGTAAGCGCTGTGATTTAATTACTTAGTTAACCACTCCCTGCCGGGGATCCCGGATCGGGACACGTATGCTTTATAGGCGCTGTTTGTTTTAGATGCTGGTTACTGTACACAGCAGGTGGAGTCAGTGCACAGGAGAGGGAACTGTATTCCTTTTAAAATTGTGCCACTGCCTTTGAGTAAAAGCCAATAGGAACTTGCTACCAGTGTATTTGTGTACATGTATGTACTATGTGTGACATCTAGAGGATGTTACTTGCCTTTGTACACGTGATGTTTGTGTTAGGGGTTAGTGTATGTATCTTGGGTTGAATTGCTTGAAAACCCATTTCTCTCTTCTTTCATTTGGCACCAAACAAGATAGTACGTTGGTTACGCTTGACTAAACTGGACAATCTGATTTGATGGCATCAAAATTGACTATTCAAAGAAAGCCAAGCACCATTTTGCCAGTATCAAATGAAAGACGACTAAATATCCTTTCAATAAGTAATTCACTTTATCCGAAAATTGTTTCCTTTTTTAGATTCCTTGTATAACCTTTATATTTGGAGTAACAGTTGTCCACATGCCGTAGCTTACCTTAAATATATGCATTTACTCATATGTGAAACTTTCTTGGGGTATTGAAATCAAATAATTAAGGGAATAAATAGATGCTTGACCCGTCTTAAATGTCAGTTGAAGACCACCTAAGTACATATTTATTATTCCAAGTTCATGAATAACATTTTTAGGCACGAGTCAAAAGAAGTCTACATGTATATATGATAGATTTCCAAGAATTTTGTTCTGGAATTTCACTTCCA